AATTATAATTATTTTTGACACAAAATACGGGCTAAGATAGCTTTTAAGATCAATTTAAACATACTTCAGATCTGCTCCATCATATTATATCATATATTTGTCTTATGATATTGATACAAAAATTGTATTTCATTGTATTAGAAGGTAACTTTTATCATTTACGAGGGGAAGTCAGAAAATATCCGGACTTTTGACTCTTTCTCGAAAACCATTCAACATTATAAAAGAATCTTTCTACTCTTTTGCAAAATATTCTCCACATACGTCTACGCACTTTTGCTATCTTCGTGGGAGCTTTTGTATTGCCGCTTCGAACCATGAACGTAGACCTAGTTTTTAGGTACTGTGTAACAGCAGATATCAAAGCCGCCCTGGTCCTTATATTTGTTCTTTCCAGCAAGCATTTTTTTTTCAGTTCTGGAAAAAATAAAAGTCAAGGGAGCGAGGTCTGGGTATAAGGAGGGATGAGACAAAATTGCCATTTGTAAAGAGTTGATAACCTTCTCACTGTAGCTGCGGCGGTATGGAAGGGGTCGGTTTATCATGAAGAAGGAGGACATTTTTTTTCTTGTTCTAACCTGGGACGTATTTCTTCAGCTTTTCTCTGAGATTTTTTTAGAATTTTCTTAGAATAGTACTTGGCGGTGACAGTTTTTGACCTTTTTGGCTATGAAATGAGTAAGTATGATTTCCCTCGTGAATCTCAGGCAAAACAAACATGCTTTGCCAGCCGAAGGAGACAGGCTTTAATTTTTAGGAGGTGGGGAACCAGCTCGTTTTCACTGCTTTGACTGAGCTTTTTGTTTCAGGTTCGGAATAATGAAACCCACATCGTCATCTCAATTGATAATGCGGTTCAAAAAAACTTATCTCCTTCAGATTAAAACGACTTAAATGTTCTTTTGCATTGGTTAAACTGGTTGCCTTTTGATCTGCGGACAGCTGTCTAGGCACCCACCTGGCACTTACCTTGCTCATGCCCAGGTGTTCATGTAAAATCTTGTGTGCCGATGCCTTACCGATGTTGGCTACCTCCTCCAAAGTTACTAGACGATTTTCTTTCTTGACAAAAGCTTTAAAATCGGCTACCATTTTTGGGGTCAGCGCCTCAGCTGGCCGCCCAGTCCTAGGCCTGTCACAAACACTTGTTCTGCCTTCACGAAACTGAGAAACCCAGTTGTAGAAGGTTGAACGTGATACACAATTATCAGAAAATATTTTTTTAAGCCTCTGAAAGATGTGGCAGGGCTTTTCACCTTCTGCAACCAGAAACTTTATTACAGGGCGTTGTTCTTCTAACCAAGAGTCCATGATAGACGAAACACCTATCATATATCAGAGGGCAAAATACTGTGTATACACAACTATCATTGAAAATAAACTGACCACGTTATTGGCGAATGAATGTAGTTTTCACCAATATATAAAGTGTGTATATAGCTGCACGTGGAATAAGAGGAGCATGAAAAGTCCGGATATTTTCTGACCGTCCCTCGTATAAACATAAGTAAAAAGGTTTTATACGGTCCATTACAAAAATTATACAACATACTAAAATCATTTAAAAAATAACATACATTTAATGCAAAAAACTTTAGTTTGAATAATAGAATAAATCTTTTTAAGAAAATCAAAGAAAGAAATCAACTATTCGCTCTTTTAAAATAGATACAAGAAGAGCTAACAGAACAAATCTTTAAACATTTTACACATGATTTATTTTTGCAACGAATACTTTGATAAGCTGCCGTGACTACGATTTCACATTGTTGAGTAGGTCAATGAATATGACTACTTCAATTAGACTTCTTTTATCAACTCCGGCAATGACGACGACCAAAATAGTGATATTGGTCATTGTGCGATCATCACTGACATCCTTCTGCAGGCATAAACAATTTCTTTTGAATTGATTGTTAAATGTATTGAATGTTGTTATTTTTGCCAATCCGGGGTTTATAATGAACGAACTTGTGATGGTCAAAATACGTTTACATTTTCGCTATTATTCCTTTCAATATGAATGTGAATTTAACTCACGTTGGCCAAGAAAATGTCGGTAAATATCCATCGGCATTTACCTGACAAGTAGGATTAGTTGAGCAGTCTTTTTAAATTTAAGGCAATCTTATATTTTATCTTAAACATTTTCCAATATCAGCTACATGTATTGGTCAATCACCATAATGACATATGTAGGCACTTAAACTAAACTTGACATTAAAAAACATTATCAAAACGTCATTACAAACAACAAAAAAGTGGTTTAAAGACTGTTTACCATTAACATGTTATTCAAAGTTTCAATTAAAAAGTAGTTGTTGGTAGAGTAAAACATAATTCAAAAGAGGTTAATTTTAAAAAGCGTCCAACTCTGACAAAAAAAATGTTTCATACTGAATTTAATTTTTTTTTCTAAAAATAAATTATATCCGTCCCCCAAACTTATTTCCATTTATATTCGTAAAACGTCTAACGAATTTTCACGGTTGAGATTAACCTATATACAATGTAATCAGGAAGTAATCGATACACAAGTTGGCAAGCTGTTTATTTTATTGTAAACGCCTAACTAAAGATTTTAAACCATGTTCGTCAAAAACAGGGAACATCTCAAGCAATATTAAGATTTATTCAGACAACAAAGGAGTCAACTATTGAGAACGGTGGAATGGACAAGAACAGGGGTTTGCAAATTATTAAAATCCATGGACACAAGCGTTGATTTTATTGTTGTTTATGTTGTTAAATAAACATAAAATAGATCGTATATTTACCTCGCTTGACATGTTCCCTCTGTTAGACTAACTATATATACATGTGTACATAGTGTCTACATATCAAAACATTGCCGAACTTTGACAAAATAAAAATCTACACTTCCTTCTCCATTGAAAGATCAAAAGAAAATTATGTTATCTGCTTCAATCGCAGCAGTTATTTACACACTGAATACAGAGTAAAATCCTGAATTTAATAATAATTTTAGGATTATACAAATTTGCCATTATACATAAATTCCATATAATTATTTCATTTCATCAATTGTACTAATCGTATTTATAACTTTATGTAATGTGTGTATGTTATGTATGTATATATGTATGTATGTATGAAGGTACGTACGTACGTACATATGGGTACGTGCGTCCGTGCGTGTATGTATGTATGTTTGTATAAATTGTATAAATTGTTGATACCAAAAATAGAACATATTTAAGATTCAATTAAGAACAAAATCAGATATCTACAAACCAGACTCATTTTAGGAACACTACTATTCGTTTTTTGTTTTTTGTTTTTTTTTTTTTGTTTTTTGTTTGTTTTTTTTTTTTTTGTCTAGTCTCAGACATATTCTTTTGCATTAGATTTTTTGAAATGTAAGGGAAGTAAGTACGAATAAAATGCATTCAAAATTTGTAAGAGTAGTGTATCATCTTTCTTTGCGATATTGACAAATTAATTCTTGACTAATGCCAATATTAATTATTTATGTATATACCAAAATGTGATTATGGTCAATAATTGCTTTGTTAATTGTGTATTGTGATATTTATAAAAGAATAAAACTTCTTGTTCTTCACGAATAACACCCAAACGTGCAAAACCACACTGTACATTTCGTACTCTATACTGTTTATATACTACTTATAAAGATAATCGAGTAAAATAGAATATTGAAATATTAAAATACTCTTGCATGCATAATGATTAAAATTTCTTCTATATTATAAACATGTTTTCATTTAAATTATTCAGACTCGTTTATTTGTAATATTTGATAATAACGCGACAATAATAGAACAAAATAGCCCTGATAACGTAAACGTAAGCACTGTCATCCTTTAACACATATATTGCATAATAAACTTATTACATGTAATAAAGTGTTAATTCAGAGGTGTTTTGGCCATTTGTTTCCGTATGTATGTCAGACTACTGCTTTCAAAAGAACATTATCAATTTATTTGTATGATTCTTACTATTTACAATAATCATAAACATACCTACTTATTAATTTTTCAATTTAGTTTATTCACGAGCTAAAGTGTTGGTTTTGAAAGATAAAGTGTATTTGTGGAGGAGTTTAAGTTTGATGTCGGTCGCAAGCTTCATATATATTTATCTATAATGTGACAAATGGTGAAATAGTTATGTAAACGATGATACATTAGATATTGAATCAGTAAACACATATATAAAACCAGAAGTTAGCAATGAAGCATATAATTATAGTAGTTAAAATACTATATCTTTAATGATATCATGTAGTGATGAATATAATAAAAACACTGTCAACGAAACTACTCTTACTCGGCCGCGTCATTTTAACAAGGCATTCTTAGGACAATATTAACCTGTATTTTCACAAAACTCGTACTTGTACTAGGAACCCCGATGTTTTTATAAAAACCTCGATGCATTTTTAAGACAAAAAAGCTAATTTCTGCTGTATGTCACACCGGCGTCCTGCTTTGTTCGTTTCCAGTACTTTTCTGTTTTTGTACTACGTTTTCTCGGCGTTCATAATGAGTTCCTATGGCGTTCTAATGGCGTTAAAATGATACCTTAAGGGGCTTTACTGCAATCACCGAGTGGCTACTACACTGTACAAAACAATGGCATCTATGGCGTTCATGCGGCGTCTTCACAGCGACTGTCAGGACTGTCTCAAAACGTACAAGTTGTATCAATAACTTTCTAGTTTGACTGCAAACGAATTAATGTCGCCAATTGCATGTATATTTATGTGCAATTTACGGTGACTGTGCAGAAACTATAGAACGTCAAAGGTCTGCTTAAGAAATACTCAAGTGAAACTAAATTGAAATAAAATTAGGGGCACTATTCTTTTTTTCTCATTTATGTTAAATGACATTTAGTCAACATTAAACGGCTTAAGTCCAAATATTTGATAATGAAAGAACGTTTTACGTCTTACTCGGTTTATGATGGTTAACTTGTATATCTAAATAAAAGTACCACAATTAGGTTTAATCTTCCGGGTTAATTTGTGATATGTATATAGTTGATTTGTAAATATTAACACACTTAATATCTACGGTTTTAAAGAAAGCATAACATGATTGCAATGATTATTACTATTGTGTTGGCTTACTTGGAATTAGCGTATGCAGGTAATGAAATTATGATATTTGTTTAAGTGATAATTGATTTAGAAAATGAGCATGTGTGTTGTTATGTATTCCTTTTAAAAATAACTAAAATGTTTTATCTTAACACAGATATTTCTAAATGTGATGAGTTTAAATAGGGTTAAACAAACTAATTTCAAAATTTCAAATATTTAGATTACCAAACGTTTATTTGTTATGAGACCTTTGTAATCTTTACTTTGAAAAAGAAACATCCTGGATGACTGATGAAGTATTAAATGTTGGTTCCTTTTCATAGTCGCATATTATACATGTATGTCACAAACATGTACAACATATTATAATTCATGAAAACATACATAGCCATTCGTGTTAGATTTTCAAGAGACTATTAAGTTTCATATATAAAATATACAACTCAAGAGTTCGTAATTTACTAAAGTCGGTTGTTTAAACCAATTTCAGATTTGTCTCCCTTTGTACGCACATTTCAACGGCGCGTTATAAAGTAAATGAAAGGAATAATTACCAACAGTTTATAATCAGTTTAATTCAACATTAAACGGATCGTTGTTTAAATAAAGATAGACATGTATTTAAAGATTCATTTTCTGCGGGCAACATTTCGAAAGTTAAACATTACCCCATTTATTCAGAAAATGCAAAAACAAATTAAAACAGATATAAAACAGTACACAAACTAAGTATAAAAATGGTTGTAAATTCCCAAAGCATTGTAGATTGCATAAACTTTACTCATTACTCGACAAAAGTCTTATATGCGTACGTTTCAGTTCGCGTGGTAAAGTTCGGTTTATCTGAAGGCACTGTACCAGAGAAAGGCAGAGATATATCAATGCTATGTGAGGTTGAGATTTCAGCAGATGATGGAATTCATACATTAAAAATATTGAAAGGAGACACACACATTGCTGACTGTTTTATGAATGCAGGAATATGTAGTAAGGTACATGGTGTTTCAACAAGATACACATTCTCAAACAATCAACCATCTGTGATTATCTCAATAACAAATTTACAAATAGCAGATGGTGGAAACTGGTACTGTGGTTTTCAGACGACAGACAATACACTGTTCACCTTGATGATCTATTGTAAGTTCTGATTATTATAACTTACAGCATGAACGAAACATTGGGGAAAAGGTTGAAATAGCAGGTTGAAAAAGGTGAAAAAGCAGGAATTTCAAAATTCTTTCAAATAATAATAAAAATCCTCATTGATTGTCTCGGAGCAAAAGATAACCAAAAGTAAGACCTTCAAATATTTCGTTACCTAAAACTTTTGGGATTACTTTCGAGATCATTATATTTTTCAACCTAGAGTGTTACTTATTTAAATTACGCATCATTACATTACGTTACTTTACCATCTTTTTACAGATCTTTTGTAAATATAATATTGCGGCATCAGCGGCAATTCAATTTC